ACAGTGAACACAACTCCAAATGTGGTCTGCTGCAGGATGCAGGTGGCTGTGCTGGGCCGGCCAATGAAGAGCAAGGAGCAGAGGAAGCAGCAGGTGAGGGAGACGAGCAAGGTATAACTGAGAGCGTGGTTGTTGGCCTTGACGATGGGAGTGTGTCGGTGCTTCACGAAGAGGCCAAGGACAGCAGCTGTGAGGACAGTGAGACTCAGGGCGGTGCCAGCCAGAGCCTTCCCCAAGGGGTCTTCATAAGCCAGAAAAGTCACAGCTTTTTGCAGGCAGTAATTTCTCTGAGTGTTGGCATATTGATGATCTGGACACTTCACACACTGCTCCAAATCTAGCAAAAATTAAAGTTATCCCTTGCAAAGAGCTTATTTTTTTTCCCACAAATCCTTCCCCAGAAACTCCCTGGACTTGAACTAAATTGTCAATTCTTAAAGCTTTTCTCAGTTTTTCTTTTCTTTGTCTTTCTTTTTCAGTATGTGGGACTGAACTCAGAAACTTTGCACTGAGATATATTCCCAACCCTTTTAAATTTTATTTTGACAGTGGATCTCCTTAAGTTACTATTTTGCTAAAGCTGTATTCCATCAGAAATTCCTCTTCCCTCAGCTTCTCAGAGCCCTGGATTCCAGGCATGCATCAGCACACCTCACTTTTCCACTTCTTTCTAGACACAAAATAAGAGAACAGTATATAGATAATAACTCCTAAATGATACTGTTTGCTATGTATTCTGCTTTCCAATCTGGAATATCCATAAAAGAATTCCATTTTCACAAAGTAATAAAGCATCTAACTTTTTTACTTACTTCACTTCCTGAATTATTTGCTATAATTCAAATCTTTACAAACAATTCCCTAGATATTCAATGACCAACCTCATATGAGGTAGCCAACATAATTTGCTAAGTCCCAGGGAAATACATACGAAGAAACATACTGAATGAGTTTTAGTTCCTTACTGAGCCTTTCCATCTATGACTATGCTTTATGCAACCACTAAGTTAATTTCTCTTGTCAAATGAGTATTTCAACAGTTTAACTTTGTTATCTTTGGAAACAATTATGAGGTATGTAATTATATATTTAATGATTTTAAATGCCCAAAATAAATTTTCAAATTTTATCTATGAGTGCCTTATGAATGAGGTGTGGAAACAGGTATTATTTGGTAATAGTCTTGTCCTACATAACCAGGAAATCCAATATAATTTTATTCATTTATGTGGATTCTATACTTAAAATTAATATCACTGGAAAATCATAGCATTCGTGTTTCCCCCATTCGAATATATTTTTGTTTTTGTGTATTTTCTTCATTGCATTGACCATGATGTAGACTGTAATGTCTTGCAGAAGTATGATATAGAAAGTTCTTATCTCATTGTTACTTACAAAAATGGTTCACAAATTGTAAAGCGTGCTATATAATACCATAAACACCATTTTTCAGGGACAGTTAGAGAGTTTTCCCCTACTCATTTGGTAAGAAATACTTTCCATTGTTTCTTTGTAAATCACAGTGATGAATTCTATTATATTGCCTCCTTTTAGTAGCTTTGATATTCTTTTTCCTGGAGCTAGTATATTTAATTATATTTTACAAACTGACTTTGCTCATGGCTTACCGTCCCCTGAAGTACACACCTCAATTTGGAATAGAATATGTGACTTTAGCTTACAAAGGAAAGCGGACTGTAGATTTCATTTCTTCTGAGTGCATTTTTAGCTATGAGTAACACCAACTAGCTCCTTTCTTAAAAATGAATTGATTTCCCTCTTTCCTTTTTCTGAAAAAAATGAGGTTACTATTTTTTTGTGTTAAAAAGGAAAAAAAAACTTAAATAAACAAAGACAAAACAAAAAGAGAAACCAAAACAAAATAACAAAAAACATTAAAAATAATATGAGATTTCAAAACAAGATAACAGAGAGAGCCAGTGTTCCAGGAGCGGCTAGAAACCTGGGCTCGAGTCTGTGCTCGCCCACACCGCCACTGTTCCCAGCTGAAACGTAGGGAGAGAGCCAGGTATTTCCCAGCTACTCCCTGAGGGCAGCGCATGCATCGGGACCCCGCCACCCAAGCCCCAGGAACTTCTCTGGCTGCAGGCGGGGCGAACAAACCCTCAGCCCCACGCGCCCTGCGCAG